CTTTTTTCGGAGAGGTTTTAGCTATAAGGCGCGTGCGCTCACCAGACAGACAGAGACAGAGAGACAGAAAGTGAGAAATCACCCCCAAGGGGGGATAGCCACACCACAATCCCTTCTCCATTCTCCTCTCGGGATCTTGGGCACGCACACACACGCGCCCGGCGTGAGTTTTAAGCGGGTCCGGGACTCGAACCTCAGTCGACTACATGGGAGTCCAGCGACACAGTCATTATGCTAACTGCTGGTCTCCCACCTGCTTAGTTTTTAAAATTGCTACAGGGCATGTGCGCTCACCAGAGAGACACAAAGCAGGAGAGAAGAAGAAAGTGAGAAAGCACCCTCCCTACAATCCCTTCTCTATTCTTCTCTCAGGATTTTGAGCATACATATATACATCTGGGGTGTTTTTCAAGCTGTCAGGTCTGGACTAGAACTGCACATTCAGACATTTGGGACCTAGCTTTTTTCACCTTAAGCAGAAGTGTTAGACCAAGAACAAAAAGCATGAATGATCTAGAAGACTTTAGGCAACTGGCAGCCCTGCATAGAGGACTCAGTTTCCTTTGCTCTGAAATCAGGCCTGAGTGGACTATCTCCTGGGAGGAAGTTACCTCGTCCAGCCACATTTCAGAATCACTGGGATGGTCTCAGAAAAACAGTGTCCAAGTTCTCAACTCCAGAAATGCTACTCAGGAAGTTTCTTTCTAAAGGCCCCACAGGTGATTCTATGACCAGTTAGGTTTGGGAGTTGCTGCTACGGTCTTTCTGAGTTCTACAATTATGATTCTAGAACTAACCTGTCAAATACAGTAGCCACTGGCCACATCCAAGTGCACAGAGCCACATGGGTCTCTAATCCCATCTCTTCATCCTAACTCTCCTCCTCACCCTCTTTTCCCCAACCTCTGTTACAAGAAAACAGGAACTTTTACCAAGTAAAGTACAAGTTATTAGGCAAAAACAAAAAAAGACTTCCAAAGTGAATTTCTCTACTTGCTTCTCTTTCATGCCAAAATACTTTGGGTAAATTCAGTCAATTATACCAGATCTCCCCACTTTGGTCCCTAGTACAAGATAAACAGTCATCAAACACAAAAGATCTTGTTATAAGATAAAGGGGGGTATAACCCAGAAGGAGGTCTAGGTTTTGGTCTACAGCTTATTCATTAGGGGGCAGAGGGTGTCTTGAAGAAGAAAACACAAAATTATACATAATACTAGATATAAACATAAGGATCCAGAATGAAGGAAGAAATCAAATCATTACAGTTTTCAAGACAGACAAATACTGTGGTAAAAACACCCTCAGATGGTGCCCTCAGCCAATCACGCCTTTGGATACTGGCCTCCATTTAAATGCAGATAAGCTTGGGACTAGCTTTTGACCAATAGAAAACGGCAATGGGGGCCAGACGGTGGTGCAGTGGCAGAACAAAGGTCTGCGAGACTGAGCACATGGGAGGGTTCCGGGTTTGGATCTGGAGACCTCCCTGAACCTGCTGGACATGCAAGCACATGATCCAGTGCTGGCTGAGGTTAGAGGTGGGTCAAGGCATCAAGACCCTTTTGAGCATGTTCTCTCTCATTAATGGAAGAAATAAACTTCAAAAACAAAAAACAGAAATATATTTTTTTAAAGAAAATAGCAAAGGTGGTGGGAATATCCCAAGACTACGTTTCCTTATAAAAGATGTTGTGTTAGCTGACTGGAGACTTTAGATTTTACTGGTGACCTTGAAAAAGCGAGCTGCCAAGGTGTAACTGTGTGGGGAGGGCCACGTGGCAGCGGAACTGTGGGTGACCTGCAGGAGCTAAGGGCCTGGGTCCTATATCCACAGGGAATTAAAGTCTGCCAATACCAGGGAGTTTGGAAGAGGACTGAGCCTTAGACGAGATCACAGCACTGGCTGACACCTAGACGGGAGTCTTTTGGAACCCCGGAGAATGGAGCTTAGCCATGCTCCAACTCTTGACCATGGAAACTATGAGGTAATGAACCTGTGTTGGTTTAACCTGCTAAATTTGTGGTCATATATTACACAGCAACAAAAAACTAATACAGTACCAATGAGACCCCAAAATCCAGCAAAGTAACATAGTATTTTTATTAACTAAATGTCTGACATACATCTAGAATACCTGCTACTTTTTTTCATTTGTTGTGTACTCTTTATCTTCTCATATGCCAATGATTTTGAAATATTTCCTACAGAGAATACAAAATAATTCAGTCTTTTCTCTAGCATGGCTGACAGAAATTTCTCTTAAATTAACTGTTTAGAAAAGGTTTCTTTAAGTTCACAGCTATATGACATTACTAGTAATGAGAGTTTTGGGGCTTGGGTCAAATTGGGGAAATCTCTATTGCGTTTCATTTAAGAGGGTGTAAGATCTGGAAGAACCTTTCCGACAAATGTCTAGTTCCATACATTTCAACCCGTGTTTCTCCTTCACTACCCACAATTTCAGTGCCAGTGCCATGGGACACTGATTCCACATGACCTGTGATTCCACATGGTCTGCAGTTCGAGTCACATGGTCTGTGGTACCGAGATCTGCCCCAGCCCCGCTCTCTCCTCACAGTGCTGCTGAGTCAGCACCGTGGGTGGTAGGACTTTTCCCACTGCTGGCAATAACCCACCCACCTACTAGCGGATCTCTAAACCACTTATATGTATCCCCCTCTTCGCCAACTCAACTTCCCTCGTCTAGATGCAGAAAACGCCTATGGCCACACAATACCCTGCAGGGCCCATGCCAATAGAGAAGGAAGCAAGACTGTGTCAGCAAGTGGCATAGTGGTTAAGGCACTGGATTCCACATGGTCTGCAGTTCGAGTCTCAAGACTCCATGACTTGAAAATCATGCCAGGTATATGTGCCCCAAATCCAGAAAACGGAGGAGAAGGGATTGCAGTGTGGCCATCCTCCCAGAGAGTTACTTCTCATTTTCTCTCTGTCTCTCTCCAGCAAGTACACACTCCCTGTGGCAAAAACTTTAAAACCTAAAAATAATAAAAGAAAAGAGGAAACAAGACAGAGGGCAAAACCAGTAAAAAGCTCCAGTGATCGTAATCTGCCTGTCCTTATCTTCCTACTGCAAGTTTCCTAACACCTTTGTCCCTGGGGATGTGATGCAAGTGAGGGGCCCTGAGGCCTCAGCTCTGCTTTGAGCACTCTCCCTGCCTGTAGAACCAGCAGATGGCTATCAAGCAGGGACGTCTGCTGCCACAGGAATCAAGGCTGTGCTGTCACACCAGACTCAACGCCAGTCTCGTCTTCCTCACTAAGTGACGGAAATTGTGGGCAAGGAGGGCGCACGCTTTACCTTATTGCCCGGGAGAACTAGATGTCCATCCCTTGGGAAAAGATTATGTTCTTACGTCACCTAACCTTCCCTTTCACTCACTCCCCAGCTGACAGGTCGCAATGTTAAATATCTGACGTGTTCTTCAGATTTACCCGCACCAAAGCCCTTCTTTCCTCCCTTGCTGCTGTCTGAAAGCTTGAAGTATAATGGTGGGAGTGTTGTGAGCAGAGACCTCCCAGCCCTGTCAAACTTGAAATTATTACCTAAAATCAGCAGTCCAGATGTTTTGCTGGTTAGTAACCTACCCCCCAGAAAGCTACTCAGAAACTAACTTAAAGATTTGCTTCTCGAACCACAGTGTACATAGGGGGATGGGGGCAGGACGGACACAGAGGCAGTCTGGGGCAGACAGTGGAGGCGGCTGTGCCTGGAAGGCTTACCTCGTCGTACATGAACTGGAGTGTCAGAGCCGACTTGCCTACCCCGCCACTGCCGACCATGATCACCTTGTGCAGGGCCAAAGAGCTCTGGCCCTTGCTCTTGTTCGCAGCCATCCTGCTGGTGTTCTGAGGTTGCCAACACGGACAGAAGACCTAGTCGAAGAGCTGCTGATGACAAAGACAGAGACTCAGAGACAGTGTGCCCTCTACTCGATTGAAATCAAACACCATTCACACCTTCTGGAAAAGCCTAACCCCAACCTACCAACCTACCAACCTACCGATGCAACAGAGAAGTGGTTCTTCTAGGCTCCTGACAGAGATAAAAGCCTTCCGACTACACTCAAAGTCATTTACCGCTGCAGAGCTGAGCCAGAGCAAAGCCGGGGGTGGGGGGTATGGGGGCGCGCATCCCACACCTGAATCACCGGGAGGGTGAAGGACACCCTGTCACCAAAAAATCAATACCCCTCAATGGGACTTCACAGAGGCAGCGTGGCCAGAAAGCTCCAAGTGCTAGTGTCCTACATTGACCCCAAGTAACCTGTGACAGAGAGCTCAGCTCAGGACCCTCAATATCTAGCTCCTCATTCTCAGTCCTCCTGCACCCGTGGACCTCTGTCCTCCAACACACACACACACACACACACACACACACTCACGCGCGCGCACGCGCGCGCACAACCCTTCACATGGATTAAGGAGGAGGGCTGAAGGGATAAGAACTTGGCTTTTTAAATAATAAATAACTCTTCATGACAATTTTTTTAAAATGAGAGTTATTTATCCCAGGTTGATTTACAGAAATGAACTAAGATGAGTTAAACTTTCCTAAAAGAACAATCTAGAAGTCAGTCAGTTACCTTCAGCAGAAGCATGTAAGATAAATGAACAGAGCCACCTGGGCTGTGAGAAAGGAAGACACTGCACACAGGGACCGCTTTTAACCCGAGTGCCCATTTTCATTTTAACCAATTTGTATGGGAAAAGCTTTCTATGTCGTATACGCCACAGCAAGAGGACAAGGCTTGGGCATTGCATGGGCCCACACCTGTGTGAGCTATGTAACCTAGAACTAGTTGTTCCATTTCTCCAAGCAGGTTTTGTGAGGGTTAAGTGAAGTAAGACATGTGAAAGGCCTGAGCACACAGTAGGATGGCAAAAGAGGTCAGTTTCCTCCCTATCTCATTTTAAAAGGCTGTTTCTTTTCATCACAGTATTATGGGCTCCTGTTTCCATCATTGCTGACAATCCGAAAACATCCCCACTGAAAATTAAATACACATACACAGAACTCACAAAGTACTGAGCAAAATAAAGCATTTTATTTCAATAAATCGGCAGTTCTCACTCTTGGCTACACAATGGAATTACCTGGGGAGCTTTAGAAACCTCCTGAGGCCTGGGTCCCACTCCAGGGATTCAGTCTCACCCCAGGCTGAAAACTGCTCTGAAATGCATGGCGAAGCTCAAAAGGAAGCAGGAAGTCCAAGAATCAGAGCAATGAGAGTGGCAGCCCCGCGATCCTGCATGGTTGCTGCGCCAGTAACTCAGGATTTAACACACATTCAGGGCTAGGAGCCCAGACCCCAGGCCAGCTCGGAGTTGAGACATCGTCTCAATTGAGAATGCCAAGTCCACACCCTCAAAAGAGCACACCTCAGGTCAGGAACAGACAAGCATAACACCTGTCCACCAACAGAGGAAGGTGACAGCAGCATGTGTGCCTGGGCCAGAGCTGCAGGCAAGCCTCTCAAGGGGCCGGTAGGTGGCATGGTGATGGGAGACACTGGACTCCCACATAGCTGACCACAATTTGAGTCCCGGACCTGACAGCTTGCTTTCTCACTTTCTCTGTTTCTCTCTGCCCCTCTGATCAAATTAAAAATAAATGAGGGAACAGCAGTTAGTGTAATGGCTATGTCGCTGGCCTCCCACATAGTCAACCGCGGTTCGAGTCCCGGACCCAGTGGCTTAAACTCACGC